TTTACACTCACACCCGTGAGTCGTAGCCACTCCGCTGCAGCTGTTATTCCTCTCAGGGAGGTGGAGTACCTGCAGCGGTGTACTCAGGGAGATACAGCGCTGTAAATGCCCTGCCAGTGTGGACGGGGAGTGAGTTACATCGCTGGGGGAGGCTTTACAGCGCTGTAACTCGCAAGTGTAGCCAAGTAATGTTTCAAGACATAAACTGACTCTTGAACTTTGGATAAGCCTTATTTCATTCCATTCAGGATTAAAATAAAGGATATTCAAGAATGTCTGCAATATTTCCTAGCATTCATTTCCACTATCACAATCATAACTAAAAATAATTAATATTAAAAAGTATTGTTTGAGTCTTAAAGACTTCTTTAACAAAAACACTCATGATACTGTTGTTGAAAAATAAAGTAGAGCTTTCAGTTTGGCTTTTAATTATCAGAACTAGTGTCTGTTTCTGGTAAAATCAACATTTTTTTAAAATAATAAAATCCTGTCTAAATTAAATGAAAAAATTGCTACAAATGGATGGAAACCAAAAAGAATTTTAAAGTAATTATGCTGAGTCTAATTATACCTGATCTGTAATCTAAGCTATATTTTAATTGCTGACTCTTCTTTTGCCTCTAAAATAATTCTTTTCATGATGAAATATAGCCTAATAGTGCTAAAGAAATCTCATCCATTAACTGTGAATAGCAGCTAATGTCTCTTTTTGTGTGTGTATTTCTTTCAATCACATCATGCTGGGTTCCATCAACAAAATAATTATTTCATTCAAAGAACATCTGTACCATTTAACTGCAACTCCAAAAAGCACATTTCAAACTGAGTGAAATATAAGAAACTCAACAAGGTGCTTTATTATTACTATCCAGGTTATACTGTCAGGGATACTATACTATTCAAAACCCATTAAGTAGCAGTGGGCCTTCCCTATACATATGTCAGTCATACTTCACGGTCTCTATATTATATATAAACACATACAATTATATAGTTACACAGATTATATTATATATGGAGGGAGGTGGTAAGTACAGAGTGTTTTTGGCATGATTAATGCTACCTTGAATAGTTGTTTATCCTTAGTTGCTATGAGTGATAGAAGCCTTACATAATACATAAATTATATACCCACAGAGACACAAAAATTATGCAGTGGCAGATTAATTTTAACAAGGACTTAAATATGCCAGTTTAAATGTAACCCAAAAATTCAGTACCTACATTGGTATTCTTTAGAATGTGTGCTTCTTTAGAATCCAACTGTACGAATCTGAGAGAAATAGAAAAATATAATAAATATAAAAATACAAGTATTTGTACAGAGAGTACTTTTAGAAACTACTATAAATCATCTATACCAGCTCATATATAAACCCTAATGTTTAATATTAAGATTTAAAACTTTTGTTGTCTGATGAGGCTAGTTAACAAGAATCCCCTATAGCATGAAACACTCATTTTTTTGTCATGGTAGTTGACAAAACATTGGACATGAAACCTGTCACTGGCCCAGGACTGAATATCCCATCTCACAACTCAGACAAGTGGAATTTGATGGGAGATGTTTGTTATACTGTCTGGAGTGGCTCATGATGGTGAGTGCCAACCTCAGGGAAGACTGTCAAAAAGCAGGGCAGACATTCCAAATCGGTTGTATGTTCTATAATAAGATTTCACCAACCCAGTAAAAAGTGTGAACTCCTAAAGCACTATAACAATCTTACTGTGGAGTCACAGAAAATCCCCTTGGACATTCCTGTCTATCTTGCCACCCACACAAATTAGACTATGTGATAGATAGTCACTTTACACCAAAAATCACAACAATATTCAAGTGACTCCCAGTCCCAAAGGGCCAGTCACTTACACTAGGTCAGTTGTACTCAGCTCTCAAACCAAGGAGCATGCCTGTAGCCAATCTTGTCACAAACTAACTAAAGATGTATTAACTAAGAAAAGTTACAAAGTAATTTACAAAGTTAAAACAGGAAACATACACACACAAATGAGTTACAGTCTTAGTTTAAAAAAAAATATAAGCTTCTATAACAGGGATCGGCAACCTTTGGCCCGCGGCCAGCCAGGGCCGGGCTGGTTTGTTTACCTGCTGCATCCGCAGGTTCAGCCGATCGCGGCTCGCACTGGCCGCGGTTCGCCGCTCCAGGCCAATGGGGGCTGTGGGAAGATGATGGGATGAATTCATGTGTAGGTCTCTCCTTCATGGATAGAATAAGGAATACAATCAACAAGGTCTTTGTACTTTGATTCTACACAATGCCTCATTTGCCTTTAATGGACCATCTTGTGTGCAGGACAAGAACTTTACCTTAATTAATGCTTCTTTTCCTGTTTGGTGAATTACACAATTATAGAGGTTTACAATACAAATACTGAAGATAACTTTATACCATGGGATATAATTGTTGTAATTAATACATGCAGCATCCTACAGGCATTTTACAAAGTCTAAACACTAAATACATTCTTATAACACTAATATCTGTTTTAATTATACTAACCCACAGGTTAGCCAAAATGGTTTCCAGTTATGCATTTGTCAGTGTTCAGTGAAGCTCAGGGCCTTGGCATGAGCTGGCACCTGCTCTGTCAGCATCACAATGTTCCATTTAGAGTAAGGAAGAAAAATTGTTGCTAGCTGGTAATTTAAAAAATAATATTATAACAATGTGAAACGTTCTCAGAAGTTTGAGATTCTTGAAGTATGTCTGCTGGCTTAGTGGGCAGAATTCATATAAGGCTGTCAATGGTGCATGATCAATACAAATCGTACTCAATTTACCAAAGGGATAGCACCATCAAACCTGTGTTATAAATACAGTATACAGTGTAAATATCATCCACTAAGTTTTAGGGTATGTCAATAGAGCAAAAAATATGCATGGGCTAGTCTAGGCAAGCTAGTTTGAATCCAGCTAGTGTGGGTAACAATAACAGTGAAAACAGCACAGTGTGCATACTACAACTCCAGCATGGACCCTGGATATGTACTCAGTTTACTAGCCCACTCTGAAGTGCTAGATGGATTCAAACTTGCTTGGCTAGGCTAGCCCATGCATTTCTTTTGCTTGCTGCATAGACACACTCTTTGTTTTGGTTAGATGCTTTTATTTCATGGCTTTGCAAGAAAGTGCAGATATCACAATTTTGTACATGATGGATTGGATTAAAAATTAATGGGAGTTGGGTGCCTAGTTCCTCTTAATACTTGACAATCCTTATCCTACGTTACCAAGGTGTCCCATGTATAGGAATGCTCGAAACTTGTCAAAGCATACTAATTGAGCAATAGGCCTAGTTCTTTGAAGTCTATAGAGCTACATTCATTTATACCTGGTTAGGACTTGTCCCAACATATCTAGAGAGAAAAGGATGAATACACACATTTGAGAGAAGCTCAAGCTTCCAATATTCCAATTCATCCTATGATTCAAACTCCAAGGCTTAGGCCTGTAGTTAGAAACCCATTGTCCCCTCCAGAATTTACCCAAGGACAGAGTAAATTAGGAATAAAATGATCAGGTAATTTTGTGCATACAGGGAACTTTAGTAAAATCATATAAACAAACTTTTTATATTTAAAGTAGCCCTTTTGATTTATTCATAAATTGTGCTAATATCATGACATTCATGTCCTTTCATGCTGCTGGGTTTGTTGCCAGTGAACTTTTCAACGGAAAATACCCCAAAATATGGGAGTTTGACTCTTACCAGATTGCTTAGCTTTGTTCACATATTGATATAGTGTCAGTTCTGAAATCCTGCCAGGCTAAAATAAGCATCCTACTTGGTTGGCTTGGAAAATCTGGTCTCTCTATCTTCACTGCCTACCAGGTCTAGGACTTATGTAGCTTTTGGCTGAGCATAAATGCAGCTTCTCACCAAATATATATATGAACATATATATCCAAATTCAATAGAACTTGTTGGCTAATGATATAAGAAGATTTATAAAAATCTGCTTCAGATCCTTTTCCTTAGTCGCAGGCAGACTGTTTTCACATCTGCTTGTTTAATATGTTTTCTCCATTCTCCACTGGACCTTTAAGTATGTGTCCCTCTCTCCTGGTGATTCAAAGGAGAAATAAGGATCCATGTGGCCTATAGATAGAAGTATCTGCTAAGTGAAGAATAGGTATAAATTAAGGCAGTAATGCAATGAGCTTACCAACCTCAAGACCTATTAAATATTCAGCTTAGCCAAAGAAGGTCTCAGGCCCAAAGAAAGATTTGACATAAGCAACTATCCAGTAAATAATCCTAAATCATGAGGCATCATAAGATAGTGGTAACCTGATATCACAAGACATCATAAAATAGAATGCTGTATGACATGTGTGTTAAAACTGCTGATATTTAGAAAATATATGCTGCAATGTACCAGATAAAGCTAGTTAGAGTATTTTTAGGGATTTTGCAGACATAGGGTTTCAGTGTGCTAACCATAAGTTGTCATGATGACTGAGTAATGTAAATGTTAATGAGCATAAGAGGAACTAATGAGTTAGCCTATGGAAAGTGGGGCACCCCAAATTAGTGGGATGTGACAAACCTCAGAGTTTATAATGGAAATTCTTAAATAATAAACATAATTAATACACAATCAACAGATAAGGCAACCTTAATACCTACATTTGCCACCCTACCCATTTGCATTAATCATATATATTTTTTTGGTAACTTGGAAATCATCCAAGGCAGAATTTTTGTTAAGAAAACAGTCAACTGTCTACACATCTACATTGGTGCTGTTTAGCAAGTGGATCATAAATCCATTTTCTGTCAACTTTAAGGTCAAAGTTAAAGTTCTAGAACTCAGATCTTGGTTTTACAATCTCACTGCACTGCAGCCGTAACAACAAGTTCATACAGTTTATAGTATTCTTATTAAGAACTCTCAGATAATCATAAGCCTCAGTTTTTCTGTCAATACTTTCCCATGATTTTTTATTCAGTTTTACAAACACTAGTTCAAAGGACATGGACAAATATTTCTGAAAGAAAAGAAAAAGAATTTGCAAGATACTTATAGGAATCCTCTGCTTTCAGAACTGAGGCCATTCCAGATAATATCTATTTCGTGTCCTCATTATACAGACACTTTAAAATATGGAATAAATAAACAGGGCAGGTCTTCACTACGGGGGGAGGGGAGGTCAATTTAAGATACGCAAATTCAGCTACGCGAATAGCGTAGCTGAATTCGACGTATCACAGCCGACTTACCCCGCTGTAGGGACGGCGGCAAAATCGACCTCTGCGGCTTCCTGTCGATGGCGCTTACTCCAACCTCCACTGGTGGAGTAAGAGCGTCGATTCGGGGATCGATTGTCGCGTCCCGTTGGGACGCGATAAATCGATCTCCGAGAGGTCGATTTCTACCCGCCGATTCAGGCGGGTAGTGTAGACCTAGCCATACAGTAAGACTACTGGTTAAACAAATTATAAGATATTTCAAGTGGCAACCATTTTTTAAATAAGTTCTGAAAAGTGACCTTATTTTAAGAACAAGGATATTTCATATATTTATACATTCTAAAATAGATTTTATAGATCTGAAATTAAGCACAGATATTTTCTTTCACTTACTCTACTAAGGTAAATATTTTAGCATATGAACATTTCAGACACGTATAGGGCTAGGACCTCAGTGGGTAAAAATCAGCATAGCACCAATGAACTAAGTGGCGCTACATCAATTTTGACCAGCTGCGGAGTTGGCCCTTTGGCTCCAATTTGGCAAGCTGAATTGCTAGCACATACCCCTGAATGTCTGTGAGGCTCCAGTGATCCCAGAGGGTCTCTGCACAAGCACAAACATTTATACAGTTGCAGAATTGCCACCTTCCTTTGCCTAGTCTACAGTGTCATCTCTTGAAGCTTAAGAATTTGGGGAAATAGGAGGAGGATTATAAAAGGACAAGGATACTCTGTGAAATATTTCCAATTAAATTTTAAACCTTCAAAATGTGAGGTCCATGCATTTGGATACAATTTTGTATTTTGGAAGAAGTGGTATAATCTTATGAAAAATATTATTTTTGTTTTTTTTTGCACAGAACGGATCAATTTTGAGTGACAACGAATCCTTTTCATTAAAAAAACATTCTGTGTTCCCCCATTCTTGCTATTAAACCAACACTGTGGTTTTGACATCTTAATATTTATGACTATACACAATACAGCTCCATTTTATTTTTCTGATCACTTAGTTCCTTGCCTACATGGGTGAGTCATTTGTTGGGTATCTACAGAGCTTTGATCTCTTCCTACTTTCTGGATTTCTGTTTGTATCTTATTTCTAAACATACACAGAGTGGTCTTGAGCCTGCACTATTTAAGTGGATGAGAGTTATACCAATGGCAACTGGATCAGGTCTTACATGAATTTCTTTGGGAACTTTTGTGTTTCTCTCCTATGGGGTTTGCTACAGTTTCTCTTTAGGCTGTTGGTCTCCATATAGAGTTTTAAAGCATATTACTGTGTGTAGTATGTGCCAACCTAGCTAAAGCTGCGCCAATATTTCCATAATAAAATCTCATTCCAACAGTCCCAACTTCACATTCAGCTGTAAAAATGTGCACTAGGCTAAAACTGGATGTTCAGAGGTTTCAGTATGAAAGTAATACAAATAATATACTTGACTATTTTTGAATTATAACTTTAAAAAGTAGTAGTTTAAGTCCCCCCTTCCCAGGGCCAGCCCTAGACCAAATGGTGCCCCAGGCGAGGAGTGTCTTCAGAGTCCCAGCTCCATTTGGTAGGGTGGGGGTCTGGGTGCAGCTGGTTGGTCTCAGTGAGGGGGTCTGGGTGCAGGGGGCTTGTCAGGATTGTCCGGGTGCATAGGGGCCAGGGCTTATTGGGATGCGGGGAGGCTCAGAAGGGGTGGTGGTCTCAGAGCAGGGGTCCAGATGCAGGGGGCGAGGCTCTGTGGGGGGGTTGTCAGGGTGCAGGGGTCAGGAGTCTGGATTCAGGGGTTTGGGGCTCAGTGGGGGTCCAGATTCAGAGGGGTGGGACTCAGCAGGGAGGGCTCAGGGGGCTGTTGGGTTCAGAGAGTTCAGTGGTGGGTTCTGGTGCAGTATGGGTGAGGCTTAGCGGAGGGGGAGGGAGGTCTGGGTATGGGAAAGTCTGAATGCACGGGGATTGGACAGATGGGTAGCAGCTATCCATACAGTGACCCTTCCCCCTGCAGCTGAG